CCACACATACCTAATATACTGCACCCTCAGCCCATCTTCTGCCTCTGCTTTAGCAGCCCTGTATGCTGCACTCGATCTCTGTGGACGCCTTAACAAATCTATATATTTGTGCCGCTTACTCCCTTTTCTAAACACTTACTCTCTGTCTCAGACCTCACTTGTCATCTTTTAGCACCCATCACCCCCCACCTCTGTCTCAAACCTGCTTTTGTAATCCCTTTTGTCCTAACCCATGCACCCCTTTTCCTCTAGCTGAGATTGTGCTCCCATGCTCTAGAGGAGATGCAAACGAGACCACCAGTCCTTGCACTCACCCTCTTATTTTACCCCCTAGACTCCCTGGCATTTCTTTGCACATCACAGACACCCTTTTGTATATGTCTTGCTATTTACTTTGATGGGAGACCTGCTGTGCAATCTTTTATGGAAAGGAGCTACCCTGTACACATCCCCTGCGTCTCCCTCATCCACGCAACAGACAAGAGGGAAAATCATCCTAAAGCCCTAGTAAGCACCCCTCGGTGCATTCCTGTTCATGCCCGGTGTATTCCTGCACTTTTATCCCATCATTCCTGTACCTTGATCTCTTTCTAAATGATTAGCTTGAGAGGAATTTTCTGTTTGAAGTTCTCTGATAAAGACAGTGGCTTATATTAAAAACTATCCAAAGATTCTGCTTCTTTAACTCAGTAAACATTTGTGTCTTTCATTTCAGGAGATATGTGCTGTTTTAAAATTGATTACTATTTTTTAACACCATACACATTTTCCTTGATATATCAATGTTTTTACGACAACGCTTTGTAACCTGTTCGCCATAAAGTTTCATTCTTAAAAGTGTACAAGATCTTATGCTAGCATTTGCTTATGCCATATGCTTTATTTATATACGTACTGCTAATAGCATACATAACCCCTTGTAGTGAAAGGTGGCCTTAAAGAAAGTAGGTGTTTTAGCATCGTAACTATATTTTTTCTGCATTTTTTAAACCATTTTCACCATATTTTTCACTAGAGCTGTGTGCAGTTGTCCGTGTTCTTTATTGTCTCTGTCATGATTGCTGCTGTTTTCAACCCGTTTCAGTGTTAGTCATCCAAGTACTATACTGAGATTGCTGTCATGCTGCCTGACCCAGGAGCAGCAAACTGAAGCATATATCCAAAAGGCTGAGTCTATTCATGCTATCCTGTGGTCTCTTGTTTTATTTATAAGGTGCTTGAAAACATCTATAAGCAAAATATCCTGCGCTCATCTGGTTGTTGTTGAGATTTTACTGAAGTGTGCTGTAATGAAAAATGTGCAAAGTTCAAACTTGGTTAAAAAAAGAAACAAAAAAATTACCCATTTTGTGAACCTTGGCACTTGGCTAGCAAACCATTAACATTATATAAAGAACTGTATAGATTTATGAATCATCTCAGACCCTTGTGTGTTTTCACAGGTAGTATTGCACTAAAGCCTGCTCTTTATTCAGTGTTTAGCTCTATTAGCCTGTTTAGTAGTTCTTGGTTTTGGTATAGTTACCTGAGAATGGGATACTTAAGGTTGTGAAGTAAAAATTAAATTCCTTACTGTAACTCATAGGAAGTGGAGCACCGGATGCATATTGCCTCTTTTCAGTAACTTGTGAAAAATACTTTCTTTGCTGTTTCTTTTGGAACCTGAGAAACTATGCGCTTAATTCTGGGTATATAGGAAAAATAATTAACCGTGTCCCATTCCGTGATGTCTGTGCATAACCAGAAATAGTTCTGCTTAATGTGGTCTCTTTACTTCCCTAAATTTAAATTAGAACTTCATTTTCAGCAGTGTAAGGCAAGGATGTGGAAGCTTCCGATAATCTAAGATTTGTAGCCTTGGTCTGCTAAACGAAAAGCATACTTGACTGTTCGTTTATTGTATAGTGGCAATGGTTTTGGTGCAATGAACAGCTACTAGTTATTTTATAATACTGTCCTAGGATACACTGCTCTACTGGACTGTGGTACAGTTTAGTAGGCACCTTCTCAAAAAAATTACTTATTTCAAGTCTAAGAAATCGGGAAAAACAGTCAGGAAATGCTTGTTTAATGAATGAATTTCCTTTGTCAGAAAAAGGATAGTTTTGCATTATGTCCATTACTCTAACAGCAATATAATTTTGTTTCTCCGTTCTGAACATTGTATCTCTTTTGTTGAAACAAGACTCACTTTTTGCATTAGTTGTGTGCTAGAAGGGCTACTGTCTTAAGTGGAATTGAACTATGACGTTTTCTTTCGCTCTCCAAAAACAAATAAATAAAAGCCGCAAACAACCATTCTGGCAGGGTTCACTCAAATTCTCATATTATTACTCTGATTTTTGGAGTATGGGCTTCAAATTTGCCTTTTAAATCTAATGTACTGGCTTCTCTACATTTGCTACTTAATGCTAAGTTTAAACCTTTGTTCTTCCAACTGTATGTTTATCTCTCAAAACAAAACAGCTGACTTGTGATTACAAATAAATCTGCCTTCTTGAGAATGTTGGAAAGCATGAAGGTCATTCAGTAGTGCCCACATGTACAAATCATGAGCTTAAAGCTGTTAACTTTGTAAGGAATGCAGTTTTATCACTGCATAGTGCCCTATTGCACTACATTCCATAACCTGTGCATGGTACATAAATTTACAATGCAATTGCTCTTTTTATTGTTCTGCTGCTCTGTGTTGGACTTAATGATTAGGAGACCCAGGCTGCCAAAGATTGCAAATTCTTTCTTTTTTTTTTTTCCTTTCTTTCTTTTGTGTTGATATAGTAAACACTCAGAAATTGATGTTTTAGTTCTAATAGCTCAGCACACCTAAAATTTTACTGCTTTTTTGTTTGTTTCTTTGTTTGGTTTTCCATCCCTGTGAATCATTTTCCCTGTTCTATGTTCAAAAGACTTCTGGACAAGCACTTCTTGAAGCAAATGTTATGTTTTATACACAGCTAATAAAAGAAGGAGATTGATTTGTTTGGGGGCTGTAAAACTTGGGACTCTGAGGAACACTGAAACTGGCTATGTTTATCAGTTAAGTCAGTTATCTGCAATTCTCGTCATGATTTTGGTAGAGGGCAAATTTCAAGATTTTGGGGAATGGAGGACTATTCATTCCTTGTACAGTTAACCCTAAATAACTATTGGAAAAGACTTTTTTTGAAAAGCAGATGGTAATGCTATGATGCCTACTTTGAGTCATCATGGTGAGATTTCAGAAAGCAGAAGCTAAGCATTTTCTGTGAACTGGTCCCTTAATTTTGTCTCAAGATGTGTGCCTAAAATTGCATGAGATCTGATCTGTTCAGTCAGCTCGGGGGAAGGGGGGGATCTTTTATGTCAGCTTAGTTCTTTAATTTGATTTCCAGAATTAGCAACATCTGTGAAGTGATCCATTACTGACTTGTCCATCTCATCTGTTAAAGGTCTGAGTGAAAGCCTGTAGAGGTGTTGGAAAGGTGGTCTTGAGTTGGCCTCCAGCAGAAATGTGATTCAGTGCCCTGGTGGCTGCATCCTTCTTCTGTGCTCCCAACACAAGAGCAGAGCTAGATGTTTTGAAGAGGTCCTTGCAGGACACTTGGTGCATGACCTCGACTCTAATGTAATGTCCCGTAGGAACAATAGAACAAATAAATTAAACTGAGGGAATTCTGTGTGCTTCCTTTCCCACTTCTTCTCAAAAACAAAACCAAAAAAAATTAAAAAAAAGGCTTTGTTGCTATCCTACTGGTTTCTTCCGCCTCATATGAAAACAAGAGCATCTAAGCTGGCGGTTTTCCTCAAGACACAGTATTCACATGGAAATGATTTATAAAGCATACAGCTCCTTTAAAAATACATTTGGTGTGAGCTGCTTGTTGCTGTGGAGAGCCTATGTATTTGGTAGAATGTTGGAAGGGAAGTGCTAGCTCTGTTCCCCCAGCTCGCACGCATGCTCCGCTTTCTGTTAAGCCTTGTTTCAAGCACCATGTAGATTGCCTTTTTCCTCCCCCCCTTTTTTTTTTCTTTTTTATGAGACTCCTCAAGAGGCTAGCTTAGTCTTGGCTTTGTGTATGTGTTTCTGTGCAATTCTGTCCTAGAAGCTTGCTTGCTGAGCTTTTAATCTGTATTTCGTACTGTAGAAAAAAAAATGACAAAAATATTTCTCAACAATTTTAAAAGCATGCGCACACTTGCAGTTTTACCATTCTTTCTCAAGATTTCAGATGCTTTAGAAATGAGAAAATCATAATCTAAGTACTTTCTTCGTAAGAGGTCTATGGCAGGTTAATAAAACCTGTGGTTAAACAGATCAGTCTGACTCTGTTTTCTAGTCTCTCTGATAAGTTATATACAGCTTTTTTTTTTTCTCTTCCCTCCTAAAAGAAACAATTAACAGGGCTCAGCAGTTTGTTTGATTTTTCTGAAGTGCGAACTTTCACAGCTTCCAACTGCATATCTCTCCCTTTGCCGAGATCTGTTCTTGATGAGGTTTTTATTATATGTGTGCTTAGGAGCTGCAGAGACACATTGTCAAGAGACCAACTGTTTGAGAATGAAAGGCTTTACCAAGTCATTTTTATAATATTAGAACTTTTTAGACACTCAGGCTTATCATTCTTTGTGGAGCTGTATGTGCTACAGGTTGTGAAATATCTGTCTGCAGAGAGCAAGGGGCGTTTTTCTCTGCTCACCAGTTTGGCTCAGATTAGCTTCTCTTAAAGACTAGTGGGAAGTATCAATATAAAGGTATTTTCAGTGGCCTGATTCTTT